GGCTTCCTCCATCACTGGGGCAACCAAGCCTCCTGCTCGCTCCAGCTCTGTGGCTGCCGGCAGCCATCTTGGTTGGGTTAATTTGCATATAGTTACTCTGATTGGCTGGTGGGCGTGGCTTAAGGTGTAGTGAAGATACAGTCAATTTGCATGTTTTCTTTCATTAAATTAGATTATAGCTATGTACTTACTTAATATCCATTTCAAATTCCAGATGCAACATTTTCGCCCTATAATGCTTCCTACTTAGTTTTTTTAAAAATATATTTTATTGGTTTTTTACAGAGAGGAAGGGAGAGGCATAGAGAGTTAGAAACATCAATGAGAGAGAAACAACGATCAGCTGCTTCCTGCACACCCTCTACTGGGGATGTGCCTGTAACCAAGGTATATGCCCTTGACCAGAATCGAACCTGGGAACCTTCCACAGGCTGATGCTCTATCCACTGAGGCAAACCAGTTAGAAAGGAAATAAATTTTTAAAAATTTATAATACCAGCTATATATGTTCATATACTATGATCTACTCAGCCTTCTATGGAGTTAACCCCTTCCCCGGCAGAAACGTGTATACTCGTTTTCACAAAATGTTCTTTTTCAGTCGTCGACGAGTATACTAAGAAAATATGGTAAAAAAATATGGTTTATAGGAAGACGAGTTACAAACTGTTTTCATAACCAGCATCAAAAATACTATATAGAACCAAAATAAAAAAATTAGTCTGAAAAAGAAATGTTTTTAACAAAAAAATTGTTGGGGAAGGGGTTAATCTAGATCTACAGAACAAAAATACATTTTTATCATTTATTTGTTCTGAAAAATGTTTCTGATTAACTATGTGTACACAGATGCAAAAAATATAAAATACATCCATATATGAATGACATCTATTTAAATGCACACAGCTAAAATTAAACAAAGACCCTACACAAGTAGTCAGTTTCTCATTTGGAACCCAGAGCGTTCCCTGTTTGCTTTTAAGTTTACAACATGTAGCTACCTACATTTTGCCCCTGTTCTTTGCAACCTTTTTACATTAGGGCATAAATGAAAAGCAATCACAGTCACATAGTACACCAGGAAAAATGGAAGAATCTATTCATTTCTGGACGTAACTCAACTGCCTGAGACCCCACCTATACTTCCAAGTGATGAAGGAATCAATACCTCAGCATGCTTCTATGTAACCTATTTACAGCAAAGAATGGGAAATACTCTCTCTGATCTCTAAACTTTAAGTTATGAGAAACATTTTAACAAGTAAATTTTAAGAAAATCATTCCCAGGAACACATAAACTCTAAGCCAGCGGTTCTCAACCTGTGGGTCGCGACCCCTTTGGTGGTCGAACGACCCTTTCACAGGGGTCGCCTAAGACCATCCTGCATATCAGATATTTACATTACGATTCATAACAGTAGCAACATTACAGTTATGAAGTAGCAACGAAAATAATTTTATGGTTGGATCACAACATGAGGAACTGTATTTAAAGGGCCAGAAGGTTGAGAACCACTTTTCCAAGCTATCCTATATAATAAAACAGAAACATGCAAATTAGCCATTCCTCTGCTACGCTCAAGCCATGCCCACCAGCCATGCCCACCAATCAGAATGACTACGCAAATTAACCCGACAAAGATGACGGTTTATTTGCATACGCAGGTGTTAGGCGCCCCAGGAGGCGACAGCGGCCGGGGCCACAGGCTCCCAGAACATTTACTGGTCCGGGAGGCGAGACCGCCCGTGCCTAGCCATGCCCGCGGACTCCTGGAACCTTCGCAGGCTCGGGAGGCAAGGCTGTAGCCACACCCATTGGCTCCCAGGACCTTTGCCGGTCTTGGAGGCAAGGCCATCCATTCCTAGCCACGCCCGTGGGCTCCTGGGACCTTTGCGGCAGAGAGCAGAGTGGGAGAGGAGCAGGCAGAGAGCGGGAGGTTTGGAGAACTTGGCAGAGCAGAAGACCGCTGGACATCGAGCAGAGTGAGAGAGAGGGCAGCTTGGAGGGCACGGCTCCCTCTTTCACCCCAGATTCCTCATCACAGCTGTGGAAACTGACAGCAGGGAGGAGGAAGTCCCACCCCCACAGAATCAGCGAGAATCAGCCTTTGGTCAGACAGCTCTCAGCAGCCTGACAGCCAGGACTCTCATTCACCTGCATCTCAGACTGTGACAGTAGAGAGGCGGGGCGATGTCTAAAGAACAACTGTTGATACAAAGTAGCTCTGCAGCCGAAAGATGCCGGCGTTATTGACATAAAATGTCTGCAGAGCAGCGTGCGTCTGATCTTGAATAAGGCGGCAAATGTGACAGGATGTATCTGAACACCAGCTACTGGAAAAACGTCGCTCTGATGCCAAAAAAACACCAGCATTATCGACAGAAAATGTCTAAAGACCAACATGCCTTTGAAGGTGAAAGAAGGGGGTGGTGACAACAGAATATGTCTAGAGAACAGTCATCAACAAGTACTACCAATACCTGTAGGAACTGCCTTCTCAGTGAAAATGGAGTACAATGAGGATGCAATTCTCAAACATATTTGTGGTGGAATGACTGTTCAGTGTGAACTTTGCCTATCACTAAATTTCTCTGATGAAAAACCATACAATGGGAAATTTGCTTGATGGTGTAGCAAAGGGAAAGTCTGTCCAAATGATATACATTTTCCAGATTACCCGGCATATTTAAAAAGATTAATGACAAACGAAGATTCTGACAGTAAAAATTTCATGGAAAATATTCGTTCCATAAATAGTTCTTTTGCTTTTGCTTCCATGGGTGCAAATATTGCATCGCCATCAGGATATGGGCCATGCTGTTTTAGAATCCATGGACAAGTTTAT